ACAAGCATTCAAAGTTTGAATTTTGACAACATATATAAAAATCACAAAAATCACGAAAATTCGCAAATTATTTCAAACTAGAAATTCATAAAAAATTTTCTTTTTAAATCTAAGATTTGAAAATTTTTAATAATCTATAATATATCCCTGACAGATAAACCGTCTTCGATCAGAATCGTTTTTCGTATACAATATATAATATCATTGGATTCAAATTTAATTCCATCCATTACGGTAACCCACTTGTAACCTACTGTACAGCAAAGCGACATCCACGAATTACCCGCCTTTTTTATCGTTGCATATTATCAATTATGCCATACGAGTTACCTATACGTTTCCACTAGATGTGAGCTTCTAACTTTTTACCTAGTTCGGTTTACTTATTACCAATAATTTCTACTGTACAGCAGAGCGACATCCACGACTTACCCGCCTTTTTTTAGTATGAATGTGTAAAAAATGTTGAAAAAATGACTTAAAAGCCACAAAATGCACTAAAAATTTCAAAAAATGCTTTAAAAACGCATTAAAGTCTTAAAAAAGCAAAATATAAATTACATTTTTTAATTCCTCGATGCATGAAATGAACTTTGTGCAGGGAAAGCAATGTTTTCGGACATTCTGAAAAAAATGCAATTTGCATTCAAATCCGTTCCCTAAAAATAACATACACCTTAATTATAAAAATAAAATGTAAGATTTTTAATTAACGATAAAGATTTTAAACTAAATTTATCAATTACACACGTATAATCAATATCGATATCGTGTTCACAATTAATCCTCATCAGTGATTCTAGTCTGTCATTGGACAAGGTAGAACAAAGTCTGTTTTTAATAATTTTAAGTTTGGAAAAACTTCTTTCCGTTTCTACACTTCCCACTTGTAATGTTAATGCAGTTTTGTACATGGTAAATATTGTTGGAAACATTTTAAGATAACCATGATTGCAATATAATCTGAAACAAAAAGTATGTATACATAACAGTTAATTTAATATTAACCAAATAACAAATTATTCTTTTAAAGTATTTCAATTTAGATAAAATAAATTTATATATTTTAAATATTATTATTGTATTTATATTTATTTTATTAAACCTGTATATCAAAATAAGACTTCCATGATTTTTATGATTTTTTCTAATGCATCATTATCTTTATCTTTTTTTAAAATTAAATTGTTGTAATTTTCCAAATCCAAATCCTCCTCTTGATTTATATCAAAATCTTCCAATCAAACTGCTTTATCTCTATTATCGTGAAGTATATTTGGCAAATTTTCACATTTTTTCAATACTTCAAAATAGTTACAAAATTCTTTATACTCATGTCTAGCATTGTCTGGTTGAATAAATTTTGAAAAATTTTTCCAAAAGCATTAAAAACATTTATTGGAAAATGTTTAGTATTTTGTTTCGTTTCATTCAACCTTTTCTTAGACAAAAGACTAATATCTTTTAATAAACCAAGGATAATTTTATCAGGACTTTTTGAGTTGTTTGATGAAGTATTTTTGTTACCGATGAACCTTTCTGTTAATTGAGTAATTATATAGTCCAGAACTGAAAAGTATGTGTTAACTTTAAAATGTTGTATAGGTTGAATTATCACTTCATCTCTAGCGTTTTCATCAGCCATTTGTTTTCGCTTACAAGATCTCTGTTGAGGTAAAGGTAAACTCGTAATCACTATATATAATGAACTTTTTTGTTTGAACAGTGATTTCATTAAATAATTCATTTGTCCCAAGTTTATTTAAGGATTCCAAATTGTCTTCTATAAGCAGGGTAGCACATTAAATATCAAAATCTGGACTTTGCAAGTGTTGAGATGTTTTATCTAAAATTTTAAACATACTTTCAAAGCTATAAGCTGTTAACAAAAATATTTCCGATGTAAAGTATTTATGTAAACCTTTGGAAGTGATGCCACATCGTCTGTCCTCTGGCCCTTCCGTATCTCTAATAACTTGAAGTGTTTAAATCAAAGCATTAAATGTTTTGAGTATAGTGCATAATGCATAGCAATGTGACATCCAACTTGTAGTATTAACTCTTTTAAATCTTCTAATAGATAATTTTGGATTAAATTTGTTTTAATTTTTTACATATAAAGAAACTCTTTTTTTAATCGAACAAATAAAATCAAAAATTTCTTCCAAATTTCCAAATAAATCCATAACATTGTTATCCGATGAAACAGCATCAATTACTACTATATTTAATCTATGGGCCCAGCACCATATATAGATTGCACTTGTATTTTGTTCGTTAATAATTGATTGTAAACCAGTATACTGCCCACGCATACTTGCTGATCCATCATAAACTTGCCCGATTAAATATTTTTTCCAATCCAAATTGTGATCGGTACCAACACTATAAAAAAATTCAGCTAAATCCACTCGTCATGGGTTTGAAAATTCTTTTATAGCAATAAACCGTTCTTTGATAGTATCGTTTTGAACATATCTTTTCTCGATATGTCAAAAGTAATATCGATTGATATGCTGAAAAACCTAGTACCAACTATTTCTTCATCTATATGAATGTTGCTATACATTCAGAAATTGTATCAATTAATAAATTTTGTTTTCTCTAAGAGATAAATGAACATTTACTTTTGTGTTTTTGTATTTTAATTTCAGTTATATACTGAGCCATAAGAGGCAAATATTTATAAATAAGTATAATAAGATCTTCAAAGTTTCCTTTATTTTGTTCACACCATCCTTCACGATGTCCACGAAACGCCAATCCATGTCTACCAAGGTATTACGTAATATCAATTAATTGTTTCACAAGGTCACGATTGAAAATTATATTTTACGTTTATAATTGTGTAATAAAAGGCAAAATAAAACACATTTGAATATCTACATAGAATTTTATAATAAAATTAAAGCATTAATTTATATTTTGAAACTATACAATGTAATAATTATAATATAGTTACTAATTGTATTAGTTGACTACTATCAGTGAGAAGTATGAAGTTGTTTATTTTTAACTAGGAACTCCAAGTTTTCTGGAAATAACATTCATTTTATTCTCAAGTCTGGTTCAACTTCCAACCGATTCCTGTATTTATTCTTCAGGAACACGAGTGTTGAAAATCCTGCTTCACACTTATAGGTCGCGACAAAAAGCATTAGAAATTTTATCGCTTGTTCTGCTACAACTGAGTACTCTTGACGACAAGATAACCAAAAATCTATTAATGGCCGTTCCTTATATTTGAGTGCCGTGTCACACGAGATTTCAATTAATGATTGAACATTTAAGTCCAAAAAAGTTATTTCAATATTGATTGAAAATGGGTTCCTTATCCATGCTTTGTTACTGTTAATTAGAGGAAAATATTCTTTTAGATTAGTTTCCAGTCCTTGCAAATGTTCCTGAATAAGAGCTGATATATCGTGTGGCATGAAACTTACGTTATTCTCTTCTTGAAATGCTGTCAGCATTGTAAAAGCCTCGTAATTTCCTGTTTTTATGCGACGTGACCACAAATTAAGTTTTTTTGTTGCAGCTTCCACCTTCTCTTGTACTTTAAATATTGTCACATTTTCACCTTGAAGTGCCAAATTTAAATTATTCAAAAAATCAAACACATCACAAATGTAGGCTACCTTAACTAACCAATTAGCATCATGAAATCTGTCTTTAAATTCAAATATTTCATCTTTAGATGTTGGAGGATTTTGTTCTAAGAATACCGAAACTTCTTCCTTCAATTCGATTAGTCTTTTCAAGACATTCCCTCTCGATAGCCATCGCACCTCACAGTGTAAAAGAAGATGTTCATGATCACTCCCCATTTCATTGCACAAAACAGAAAATATTCTCGAGTTTAATGGTCGAGATTTAATAAAATTTATAAATTTTACACACTCTTGCATCTTTTTAGTTTAAGACAATGGCATTTTTTTGACCGCTAATGCCTCTCTGTGAATACTACAATGAACCCATACATATTCCGGCGCTACAACTTTTACTCTTGGAAAAAGTCCAGTACAAATACCTGACATTGCACGTGCTCCATCGCTACTCAATCCCACATATTTTTTCCATTCAATGCCATTCTCAATAATATATATATATTGATTAAATTAAATAATTCTACTGCTGTTCTTGTTGGCAGCGATTTACAAAATAATAACTCTTCGTATGTATAAAAGCCGATGTGTCATATGCATAAATAAATAAATAAGCAATTAATTTTGATATTTCATAAGAAGCCAATACAAGGTTTTTAGTTTGAGGACTAAGTGAAAACATTGAAGTCATATTTTTTTGGCACTTTTTAATTTTCTTCTCCTGTTAATGAAAAAATCTATAAGCTTTTCATTGTATTCAGGATGCTTCAATTCTAAATGCCTCTTCAACTTTGAAGACTTCGTGGACTCGTTTGAAAGTTCTGCATTATATATTACACATAATGGTTTGTTATCATCGCCCTCGATGAAGCCAAATTGAATGTAATTTTCAAAATACTGTAGATTCCAGGCCCCCTTTTTTTCGTAAGAGAATTACTTTGCACATCGGATGACCATTTATTAGAACCAATATTAGAACTTTTACTTACATCACTCAACTCTTGGTTGTTGTTTCTTATTGAACCGGTACTTGGTTTTATTAACCACTTATCCATTATAAATAAACGTAGCTGAGGTGTTCCGTCAAGTTAATTCGTGGCAAATAATTTCCCAAAATAGTTCTCCTATATTTAGATTTTAAATATTTTACATGGGAAAATAATACACGTATACGTGTTACAATTTTAATAACTCGTCATAGACGTGCGTCGTTAGACACCAATGTTCGAACTGAAATCAATATTTAGCCATCGCTATAATATGCCTATATCGGTAATTCATTTGTAGATAACGGATAACGGATTAGTGCCGTAACAATCAACGACGCTTGTAGCATTAATTTGTTACTATTATAATGTATTTATAGATACGGCGAATGTCATACTATTCGGGTTTTTCATGAAGCCTAGTTGATAATCTCAATAATTATTATTTATGTTTTAAATAATAGTTATTTGTAATAATGAATTTATTTTTACTTAAAAGTTTAAATTATCAAACAAAAATGATAAATAACAAATTTAATATGAGAATTTAATTAAATGTTGCGACCCACTATTAAATTTTTTATGGCCCGATAATGGGTCGCGACCCGGTATTTGGGAAACGCTGCTGTAAACTATTTATTAGTGTCTATTCGAGGAAATATTGTGTTGGTTAAGTTAACCAGAGACATCACTGATTTTTCTAATTTTATTATGTGCCGTGCCCCTTATCTACTTCGTGTTTTATGTCTAATATTCTCATATTTTCCTTTACGATATTTGGTCTACCTTAATTTCCTTTAACCTATTTATAGAAAAATCGAATTTCTTTATACATTCCCAATTACATAACCCGTAAAGCACTTGTGCTGCTTTGGTGTCATATTTCATTACTCCCCGATTATTTCGACGGAATCTGATAAAAGTTCTTTTCGCTTAATTAATTTTTTTTAATTAATAAGGAACGATTTAGTGGCTGCTTGTTACTTGCGTCCCAAAAAAAGGTATATTTTACACGTAGTAAAAATGACCGGTAACTTGGATCCCGTTTTGCTGACGCAAACCGGTTATATAATTACTATCGATATTTACTACTAAAATCACTCAAGTCAATAATATCGTGTCACTAAAATCGATAGTTCACAAACTATACTATACAGGGTGATTTTTTTATCATGAACCACTCATTATTTCAAAAAGTATCAATGTTTTTTAAAATATTTTTTTACAAAGTTTCAT